TTGGAGCCGAGCGAGCCACATCATCTCCCTCCAGGGGTGGTGCAGCTTCTCGCAAAAAGTCATCAACGAAAAACAAATAAATAAATAGAAGTGAAGGGAGGAGAGCAGCAAAGGGGGAAAGAAATCCCAAAGAGAAAGGCCAAGAGGAAATGACCTTCCCTGCTATTAAATAGGTGACAGATGGGCATTAAAAATGCATCGTGGGTTGGAAGGGAAAAGAAAGGCAAGGAGGTGACACATCAGTCCCTTTGGCTCAAGGAGAGGCTGGGAAGGGGACATGGACCGTGGACAAGCACAACAGCACCATGGCTTTTTGGCGACAGCTGGGACAGACACAGCAAAACCGCCGGACACATCCAGAACAGCAACCGGGAAAAGAGAGCGGCCGCAAAGCTCTGAAGGGAGGGAAAGGAGCCTCAGATCCTCTGGCTGTACCGAAGGGACCGGCTTGGGTTGCATGGTCATATTTTCCAGCCGGTTGCAAAGAGCTATATTAATTCCTTCACTTGCCTTTGAACGCGATCATAGGAAGGGTTTGTAGAGCAGCAACATCCTGTTCTCCAACACTCCCACCACAGCCAGGGCTCTCTCAGAGGTTTTTCTTTTTATGGGGAGAAGAGCAAGGAGACAGAAGCTAATTACTTAAATAATTACCTAATGACTCACCAAGCACTCCCAACACACTCCATCTCCATACTGGGACTGGTGGAGATGAAACTCCCACCAGTATCTTGTCCCACGACATCTCATGCAAAGCACTTCATCCCACCACCCAGGGCCAAAAGTTCCTAAAACTTTTAGTTTAAAAAGCTCAAAGCAAAAATTTAAAAAGCTCTCTGCTTACAGAAAACTCTGGGACACAGGTTTGCTGAGGAGCTGATTAGCAGAGCAATCAATCTCTCAATTGCCCAAATAGGAGATGATGGGAGGGCTGGGGACAACCCATCTCCTCCCACCCAGCCCACAGCACTGCTGCTGCCCATCACAGGGTTCTTCCCACCCGGGCTACTCTTGGGAAGTGTGTCCTGCCTCATCTGGTCCACCACACACATCCTGCCCATCATCCAGCCTGTCAACCAGTTGTTGGGTGTATGTTCTTCAACCCATGGGCCATCTCTAGATGGTGGAAGTTCCTGAAAGAAGTCAGCAGCAAAGGCTGGGGCACACACGAAAGTGGAGATAAGCACCATTCCCTTCCCTCCTGCTTGTTTTGTCCAGGTTCTGGCTCTCGCTAGGGTGAGGTAAAAGTTTTAGGCAGAAACTGGGTGTCCTGGAGCTCACCAGACCCTAGGGTGGAATGGACAGCTTGGCTGGGTTGCTCAGGACCATGTCCAGCCAGGCTCTGAGTATCTCCAGGGATGGAGATTCTACAACATCTCTGGGCAACTCGGTTCAATGTTTGGCCATTCACCCCATAAAAAAAGCTTTTTCTTACATTGAAGTGGAATTTCTTCTGTTTCAATCCATGCCAGTCACCTTGGCCATGGAGATCAATAGGTCCCCAAATGGGTGCAAAAAAGTTCCCAGAATGCGGGTGTTACCCTGAAACCCCAAGCCAGGAGGCCACAAGCACTTCGGGAGGAGATGCAGATGAATTTGAAACAAAAAGTTTGGAGATTCAACTCTTTTTTTATTATGGAAGTCTATAAAATAGCCACATGGATTATTACTTTTTTTTTTTTTAAGATCACAAAATACACAACATTCATTTTAATATGCAACACATAATATTATATACATATTAAAAACCACATGACTGAAACACATGTTCACACAGCACCAATTTCATAACGAAAAACACCACAAGTGCTTTTTTCTTTTTTTAATATTAAAAACAACTGTGATAAAACATATTAATATTTTTTCCAGACAATGTTTACAATAAAGAGAAAAAAAACCCTCATATTTTACTAAATAACAAATATTTAACAGCAAAACTTTATACTAAATATCTATTTTGAATTATAACAAAAATAGTACTTATAATAGTTTATAAAGACAGACCAAAAAAATTGTGTATAAAATTATAGCAAATTGAACTGTGCTAAGAAAAAAAAAATACAAACAAACAATTCTGAGATTCAAAGTGCTTTATTCTGCAAACTCACTGCAGCAACTTTTTTAGTCAAGTTATATTAGTTAGGAATGGAAAAAACAAAAGCATGACTTACTTATGCCTAGATTAAATACACACACAAACATTATATATACACGTGATGTAAGCATATATATATAATGGATGTATGCATCTTACATTTCCGCTCTCCAATCAACCACTCACTCAAAAGCATGTTTGGTTTTCACGTTGTAATGGCATCGGAAGATAAAATAAAAAATTTCAGCGCAACCCTTCAGTGATTTCCCATAAGCACAAGTGGGATTGAGTCCTTTCGGAAAAGTCTACCCAAGAGCTTTTGCTGGCCGTAGCGGGGCATGAAGCCAACCATGACCTTTAACGAGACTTGTTAACCTTTTTGTCCATTCCCCTCTCCAGTTTTGCCCTTTTTCAGCCTCCTCTCTCCCCTGAACACAGTTTTATCCCCCCAAGAGGTCTCAGATGGAAATGGGGGGCTCCTGGATGGCACCTGGTGGTGGGTCTCTGCTGGGTTTTCCCCCTGCAGCTCCCTCTCTGCAGACCATCCTCCACCTCCTGCCCCCATCCCCATGTCCTACAAGGGCCCCTCATCATCCACAAAGACCATGGACACCCTCATGTGCCACTTACCTTCCCCCAAATGTGTGCCCCTGGGAGACTCACCACTTCCCACCGCATTCAGGTTTATGTTCTTTGCTTCTTTGCCCTTTGGGATTTTTGATTGTGATCAAGCTCCTTTTATTACCGGGAAAGTTTTCTCTCCATCAGGGACAAGGAAAATACCTGAAATCTCAACAGTGCCTGAGCTAGTGGTGTTTTGGTCAAAATTTCCAGGCTGGAAATCTAGCTGAGTCTCTGCTTCAGGGACCTGGGGCACATAGCCAGAGGCTCCTGAGACCTTGCTTTTGGGTTTGGGACGGTGTTTGCCAACTAGAAGGCAAGGTCTGGATCTGAATGGCATCTCCTGGAAGATTGAGAGTTTATTTCAGGTTAAATCAACCTGAAAATCAAGCCATGAACCCTGGCATGAATGGAGACCACCTGCCAGGATGCTCCTGGAGGGTTTCTGGCAGCTTGGCTGACGGCAATCCAACCTCCAGTGCTTCCCCCCGCAGCTAAAAAACTACCTCCCTCCTCCTTGCCCCCACCAGATGATGGGCTGGCAAAGGTAGCCATCACCATCGCTCGCTTCACACTTCCTTCGACCTTCCAAAGAGGCACCCACTCATCAAAAGCACAACCTGCAAAGCAACCTGGTATCCCCATCCGCCCCTTCGCTTTTCTTATTGCAGCCCCTCTGACTTTTCTGGACACCTTTAAAGCTGAAAGCCAAGCTGCCCACCCAAGCACAAGGTCTTTCCCCAACATGGTTAGGAGAGGTCTCAGCCATGGTCCTTGTGTTGTTCCTTCCACCTCAGAGGGCTGGAGATGGGAGAGGAGTGGGGTTGGGAAGGTTGGGCAGAGACACCTCAAGTTGGAGAAGGATCTCCCAACCTGGTGCTTGGCTCTGGTCTGAACCAAACATCTGCTGAAGCACTCAGGGAGCTTCTGCTCTGCACCCATGCACGAGGCCATGTCAGCTTTCAACACAACTCACCCATCTCACACTCAACCCAGAAGCCTCTTGCATGCAAAAAAAATAAAATAAAATAAACCCACGCAGCGAATCAAATGTAAGATACCTTGGTGGATGCTTGCTTGTGCTGGAGAAGCTTTGGGCAGGGCCCCTCTCCTGGGTTAGCGGTGGGACAGGGTGGACAGATTGCGGGGAGCCCGCGCCTCGAGTTGGCGAGGGCCCCGCCGCTCGCTCTCCTTCCTGCCGAGCTCTCCCATCGCCAAGGAAAAAACCCAAACACGAGACAAACCATGCGTACGTTGGCTTATTTATAGAGATCACCTTTAATGCAAACGCCTCCCATGGAAGAGGACGCACCGAAACGAGCAGCTCCTTTGCGTAGCGCCCTGATGCTCGCAGAGCCGCGGTAGGTTGGCGGGGCCGTGCAGTTCGGAGGCTGGTGCCTGCACCTTGGGGGAAAGAGCAAAGGCACCAAAATGCCCCCCAGGATGGGTGCCTTTGCATGGGGAAAAAGGGGCTGGGGAGGGGGGTGCTGAATGGGTGCACACAGGCCGTGTAGCAGCAGCAGGAAACTCAACGAGAAAAAAAAAAATTACACCCCCTCCCCACCCAAAGCCCCAAATGCAAAATGCATTTTGCAAAATGCAAATATGCCCTCGTGTGAGGCCTCTGAGGGATGGCTCACTGTCTGTTTGGCCCCAGACAAAACACCACAGGGTTTTTTGGTCCCGCAGTGGAGGCGAAATGGCACCCCCTCCCCATCCTTCCCCAGCACCTGCTGGAGAGGGGATGGGAATGGGCATTGCTCATCTCCTCCTTGCCAAGGAAATTCTCCAACGCCCCAAAATAAAAAACACAACTGAACAAATGAAAAAAAAAATCAAAATACCCCAAAACACTGTTATCACCAGCTAATTTAACACTGTTAATAAAAGAAGATCAGAGGCCACCCAAGAGCCGCCCCGGGATGCCAGACCTCTGATCACCGGCTGATTTCCAAAGGCTTTCCCGCAGTCGGGTCTTTGCAGCGCTCCTCCTTGCAGCAGAAATGTTTTATAGATATTTATATACATATTTATAATATTTAGATACTGTGTATGGTCAGACATCCCAGCTCTACTTGGGTTTTGCGACTCTTCTTCCGAACAAAACGAGATGCACAACGACACCCCAAACTTCTCCATGCCCCGCGGGAAGAGCAAAACGGTTTTGGCAGCTTCACCGATGGAGAAAGCAGTCCTGACCCATTTTTTTCCTCCCCTCCTGTTCATCCCCTTTGTCCCCACCCCACCCCTCTGTCCCCCGGCCGCCCGATCCCTCGCGTCGCCAGTGTGGGCTTTACACCGTCGCCCCCAGCATGGCATCTGTCCCCGTCAGGATCTCGTTCTGGTTGGAATCCAGTCCAAAAAATTTGACCTTGAGTCCGTCGATCGGGTGGACCACGGGCACTAAGGTGATTTTGGGGAAAGTCCTGGTAGCAAGCTCGAAGCGGCTGGTGCTAGCCAACTCGATGGCCAACGCCTTGAGGAAGAGCTTGGCCAGGTGCTTGCCCAGACAGGTCCGTACGCCTCCTCCAAAGGGGAGGTAGTGGAACCTGCCATCCTTGTCTTCACTTCGACCCTGCCCAAAGCGGTCGGGGTCAAAGACATCCACGTCCTTGAAGACGGGGGCGGTGTCATGGGTGTCCCGGATGCTGTACATGACACTCCAGCCTTTGGGGATCTGGAAACCCTGCAGAGAAGAGGGAAGGGGTGGAAAGAAAACCAGAGAGAGTCAACCCTACTGCAAAGAAAGAGGAGGACAAGATAAAGCCATTTCCCTTTGTTTGCTTTTCCCTATTTTTGGGGGGTTTATTACTCGTGCATGACGCAAATTTAAGAGACAACCAGAGAGCGCAGCGCAAAGGGCTGAGAGATGGGAATCCTGGGTTTATTCCTGCCTCTATCCCAGGGATCCACCGCATGAGCCGTTGCTATTTATTTGTTTTGCGGTCGCTGGCGGGAGTCGCCAAGCAGGAACCCCGCTGTGCTCGACTGCCGCTGAGCAAAGGGAAGCAGCATTTCTCGCACCCGTGCCGTGCCCCACGCGCCAGCCAGCCCTCCCCAAAGCATCCTATGGCTTTACTCCCCCCCCGCCGCCTGCCAGCCCCACACACCCAATGCACATGTCAGGGCCTGGGCGATGAGAAACGGGGCGGATTTATCATCCCCTGAGCACTTTAAAAGGTTTCCGACTCAAACCATTACATTGGTAGGATTTACAGTGACAAAGCCAGGTCTCAAGATTTTTGTTTTTGCTAGTAGGAAATTCCAGCCATTGCGGTGAGTAATCCGCCTGTCATCCGGCAGCCTGGAGGTGCCCTTTGCAGTAAACCTTTCCCCTGTCACACCCCAGTTCAGATTTTGGCGTCAAACGCTGTCACGAGTTGCTCTTTGAAGCTTCACGCCTGTCTCCAATTTGACAACCCGAGCACGGCCCTTCCCTGCCAATGGGCCAGTTCCCATCACCCTCCTCTGAATCCAGACCTATTCCACCTCCCATCACCAGCAGGACCTAATTTGTCCTCCCCGGGGTCTTATCTAAGCCAAGCTCAAGCAAGTTTTGCAAGAACATGCGAAAGACTGTTTTGGGGAGGTCACCCCAGAGAGATGGCAATACTCACGTCCAGCTCGAAGGTTTGCAGCACCGTCCGGTACCCCCCGGAGATGGGAGTGAAGAGGCGAAGGACCTCCTTGATGACGCAGTCCAGGTAGTGGAGGCTGCTGATGTTCTCGAGGCGGAGGGAGCCCTCGCAGATGCAGCCGTTGTGGAGGATGCCCTTGCTGCGCAGCTCCTCCCGCATCTTCTCCAGGACACGAGGGTGTTTGAGGAGTTGCATGATCAGAGAGGTGCTGGCGCTGGCTGTGGTGGCGTAGGCAGCAAAGATGAGCTCCAAGGTGCCATCCTGGAAGACAAGAGCAAAGCCAGAGTAAGACACAGGGGACGGCACATCAAGGGACAGGCACACAGGCTGCCATGGGGTGGTTTTTTTCCCCAAGAGGTCTCCAGTCTGGTCATGTCTCACTGCAAGGTCTCTTCTTGTGCAGGCACAAATCTTGGACATCTGCCATGGGGAGCTTCCTGCAGAGACTTGGAGGATGCTGAGGGCCAGACAGGCAGGAGAAAAAAGCCTGGGGATGGCTCCTGATAGCACACGAAGCTATGCCATGACCCTGCTGCAGATAACCTGCCGAGAGCTCATGTGCCCTGCAAATGGGGCACCATAAAACTGGATGGGTCAAGGGGTGAAGCTGGTCAAGGCTGAAAGCTTCAGCAAACTTGTACAGTCTTTCCGTATTCCCTGGAAATGCTTTTTAGAAAGGGTTAAGCATGATCTGAAAATAAATATGGCCCATAGGAAAGCAACAGGAGCAGGTCCAGAGGAGGCCATGGAGACGGTCCGAGGGCTGGAGCAGCTCCCGTGCGAGGACAGGCTGAGAGAGTTGGGGGTGTGCAGCCTGGAGAAGAGAAGGCTCCGGGGAGACCTTCCAGCACCTCCCAGTGCTGAAAGGGGGCTACAGGAGAGATGGGGGGGCTCTGGGTCAGGGGGTGCAGGGACAGGACAAGGGGGAACAGTTTGAAGCTGAGAGAGGGGAGATTGAGCTGAGATATTGGGAAGAAATGTTTTCCTGTGCGGGGGGTGAGGCAGTGGCCCAGGGGGCCCAGAGGAGCTGTGGATGCCCCATCCCTGGAGGGGTTCAAGGCCAGGCTGGATGAGGCTTTGGGCAACCTGGGCTAGTGGGAGGTGTCCCTGCCCATGGCAGGGGGTTGGAACTGGATGATCTTGAAAGTCCCTTCCAACCCAAACCATTCTGTGATTCCACAATTCTGTGAACTGGCTTGTTGGCACCATAACCCACCAGCCCAGGATTCACCTGCAGCTCCAACAACACATTGTGGTCCCCCAGCTCTCACTGACCGCCTCAGGTCTGCCACAAAACATCCTTCGTACAGCAGCTCACGCTCTGCTCTTCGTGGAGCCCCTGCCCTGGGCACAACAAGGACAAGGTGACCACGGGGAAGATCTTTACCTTCAGCTCCTGCATGGTGAGCTCCTTGCCGTGCTCTTTGCCGCTCTCTATCAGGATGTCCAATGCATCGGCATAGTCCTTGCCCTGTGTGTTTTGCAGTTTCTCCTGGATGGCTTTCTCCAGCCCCTTCTGCAGCGTCTCACGTGCTCGGATGCCCTGTGGAACAGGAAGCCATCAGACCACGCAGAACACAACGTTAGCATCCCCATCCACATCTCAGAGTCCCCAGGAGCCGGAGACGTGCTCAGGACAACGTCTCATTAATACAACTGCAATTGCAGGTGTCCAAAGAGAAGAATAAAGATGCTGAAGTTGTTTCCTGGGCAGGAGGAGCAAGCCCGGAGCGGGCAAGATTACAGGCAAGAGCAATCAGCACCTACGTGCAAATGATAGGTCTGATGTGGGAGCCCCAGTACTGCACCAGTTCACAGGCCTCCCACTCACCCTGGGATATATGGCAGTCCTTGGGAAAATTGTCTCTCAAAGAAAAGTCAATTCATCCAAAAGGATCCTCTTCCCAGGAGCGTAATGGGCTTCCCGAGCATTTTTATCACCTGGTCTCAGTAAAGCAATTCCGATCTGAGTGCAGCTGCACTGAGCTAACCTGTTGCTGTAAATGCCTGGGGGCTGCAAATGGTTGGGGTCATTCAGGTGGTCAAATATTCGAGGTGATAATCACAAAAAAAATTTTTAAACCCTTGAAATTCTGTTACCAAAATTCCCTATGAGAAAATATAAATTTTTGTCTATGCTTTTTATTATATTTTCATTTAGCATCATTCATCAAAAATTAGAAGAGTTCATAGAAGGTCTACTGACCTGTTTCGCCCTGGGGACAGGTGGGAATTAACAGGAGAAGGGTCCCACAAACAGAAAAATACAGCAAAACAGCCACTGAGGAAAAATTACCCATTAAATCTGGGCAAATCCTGACTGTGCTCTCTCTCGCATCGAACCACACAGTCCCTAGCACTCTAAACACCTATGAATGGATCCCCCTCTCCACTCTACCAAAACAGAACTTTGTAGCCCAAAAATGGACCTGCTTCTAGAAGTCAGAAGACATCCCACCAAGAACCTGTAGAGATGAGTATTAGCCACTGCCCCATTAATCCCAATAATTTGGTGTTATGAGCTGGTGGAGGACTCATCCCAAATCTCTCACCCTCCTGTAGCCACTGAAGGGCAGATCCACAGGCAAGGAGAAGACATTCTCCACGAACTGCTGGTAGACCTCGAAGAGACGGTTGAGCTCCTCATCAGGGATGCGGAAGCCCAGCAGGACACGGATGGCCATGCGGAAGGTGAGCTTCTGGGTCTCGTGGTAGACGTTGATGGACTCAGGGTTGCTACTCCAGGCCCGAAGGGTGTCTTTGATCACCAGCTGGATCTTGGGGAGATAGCTCTCCAGTGCCTCGTGGCTGAAGATTTTGGAGAAAACCTACAAAAGGAAAGAAGCAGAGATTTCTACACAGTCCAAACATCCTCCTCTTTGCCTTCTCTAGTACCCAGCTTCTGTCTGTAAAATTGGACATCAGAGGTCCACTTAGCAGAAAGACTCATTATCATCCAGAATTCATCATCCAGCATCATCAACTTCTAAAATATCTGCCAAACAGGGTCAATGGAGAAATATCAGCTGACAGATCCTCCACAGCTCAATCCCTCCCACAACCAAAACAAGTGATGGGCAATGACACGGCGCAAACCAGAGAAGGGAGGAAACGCTTCACCCCCCTACATGGCAGGACAGATGGAGGTGGATCTCCTGCAGCTCCAGGTCTCATGGTTCCCAGTAGCATCCCCCCAGTATCATTGCCCCAGAGAAGCTGTGGATGCCCCATCCCTGGAGGGGTTCAAGGCCAGGCTGGATGAGGCTTTGGGCAACCTGGGCTGGTGGGAGGTGTCCCTGCCCATGGCAGGGGGTGGAACTGGATTATCTTTAAGGTCCTTTCCAACCCAAACCATTCTATGATTTGGATGATACTAATACTTCTCTTACAAGTGGATTCTCTAGTGTCTAACATTATGGTTGTGCATGAACACAGACACAGGCAAGTTTTTCTCTCAAGGGGAAACATTGGTACTTTCTCCCACCTACCAGCCGTCCTTTTCAAATATATATAAAAACATCAAGTAAAATAATTATTCTGAAGCATTTATGATGTCTCTGAAATCTGACAAAACTCAGACAGAGGCACACACACATTCACAGAGGCTGCGATCGCTCACTTCCTTGGGAAATCAGGCAAAAAAAAAAAACAAAAAAAAACTGATGTCAGCAGACAGCATTAATTTAAGCTCTGCAAGTAAACACAGCGCAGGAGTGGGCCTCCCCAGGTCCCCAAAGCTAACGGCTCCTTACTCCAATTTGGGCCAGGGCCCGCGCGTTGCACACAGAGGAGCTCAGCAATGCCAGGAATGTCCCTTCAGCCCTCCCCGGCGCAGCCCACAGCACACGCTTTCATTCGGCATCCCCGCCGCATCCCTCCCAGAGTGCACCGGAGGAAAAAAAAAAAATCCTGTTTGTTTTTTTTTTATTAACCTACACACACATGCACACACATGGGGCAGCATGCACACACGCACTGCCACACGCCAGCCCTCTGGGAAAATCAAATTAAAACAAGCTGCCAAGGAGAGAGCGGCAAATCTGTGCAGCCTCCACCGGTGGCTGGTTCTTGGGGGGCTCAATGCACGGTGCAGGGGCTGCAAAGTTATCAACCCACCAAGAGGAGAGAAATCAAAGCCGTCCTCTCTTTCCATGAGCGCTGGACTCGCCGGAGCTGTAAATGTGAGAATTTCCTCTGCAGTCAGCACTCAAAGGGAAAGGTAACATTTTCCTGGCTGCGACCCCCTCGTTGCTAAATGCACGTCGTTCGCTGGGAGTTTGTTTGGTGAAATAACACCTCTGTCCTCTCGCAGAGGCTCGACAAGAACCACTTCATAACAAGCTGCACTCGGGCTGAGCACCGGGTAGAACTCATCACACAATACCCAGTGGGGCAGAGCTCAGAGGCTCCTCGTGGAAATATCAGCGTGCAAACGGGATGGTAGGAGGAGGGCTGGGAGAGAAAAATGCAAGTGGATGGATGGACAGATCTGTCTGCAGACAGACGGCCATCCCCAGATGGCTACGCAGAGCAGAGGCATGAATGAGCAGAGCAGAAGAATGAATGAAGGAACAGTGGGGAGATCATGGCGAGCGTGTGAGACGGTGCGGCTGCTGCTTACTGACGCCTCTCCGTGCTTCACAAGCTATTTTTAAGCCTAGAAAGAGCAGCGATGCTCAGCGATGCCTGTGGGAGGGGGTGACAAAGCAGCCGTTGGGAAAAAGAAAAGCTGGAGGTGCTAAAGCTGAGCCCCTCAGCTGCTTGGGGAAGGTAGGAAGGGAGCTGGCAAAGGGCCAGTTTGATGCAGTGGTGGCTGGAGGAGAGCTGGAAACCAGGAGCTGCTCCACAGGGGTGGGACAGGACCTCCAGAGTGGGGCTGAAGGGACACCGATATCTCCCCATCCACCTGGCATCTGCCCTTCATCCACGCTGGGGAAGGGGGGTTTGGGATGAGGACAGAGGCTCCCAGTGAATCACCCTGCTCTCCTCAAACCCTTCCTGTGACTTAGTTTCCCCATCTGAAAGTAGAGCTGGCCAGGGGACAGCCTCTCCTTAAGGAGCACTGAGGGGACAGCCCTGCTTTGGACCCACCATCCCCATGGAGGTGGCACCTGGAGCTCCCAACCTGGGGCAAACCCCCTCCCCAGCTCTGCCCAGCATCTCCCGCAGGCAAGGGGGCTTGGGGACTCCCTGCGTCCCGCAAAAAGCACAGTTTCCTGACAAATGCCTCTGGCTCCACATCCTGAAGACCAAGCCAGATGCTGTCCCTGTCCCAAGGAGCGATGTGCCATGGAGACACAGAGGAAGGGACCCCCAAGAAGAGAACACTGAGCCCCTAAGGAGGTCAACACAACACCTGCCCAGCCTGAAAAAGGGGGAGCATTTAGCACTGGGGGGGATATTTTTTTTAATCTTTTTTGGTGCTGTCCTTTTGCTATCAGGCTCCTCCAGCCCCAGCCAGCTGCACCCCATGTCTGCTGGAGCCTGGAATTCCCAGCTATGGGGCCAGCCGACATAGTGAACCCCGGCCATGCCGCCGGCTCGTTGCAACGTCCCAACCACTCGCCGCCGCTTGCACTCCACGCCGCCTAATCCCAGATGTCAGCGGATCCCTCCCTAGCCAGACACAAGTCTGGATCCCCTTCCAGTCACCTCCAGTTCAACCCTGCATCTTTCCAGTTGATTAAAAGGGGAGGAAAAGGCAGCCAACTTTCCCCGACAAACCTCTCGCACGTTTCTAGCCTAAAATTCCTGCGCCCTCTAGTGAAGCTGAGCAGAAGGTTTCGGCCACTCGCCCGAGCAAGACAAGGCAAAACCAAGTAGCATCGGTGCAAAAAAAGTTGCTCCAGAGCTGCTAAGAGGCCAAATCAGCTCTAAGGGGATGCTCGACTTTGCTAACACTGAGCTGCAATAGCGCAGCCATGGCGGGAGTCCGGATGGGTGGCCTCGGTGACAGTGCCAGGGCAATGGCCAGGACTTTTTAGGGATGCTGGAAAGAGCTCTCATTTAAAAAAAAATTAAAAAAAAATTATATGTCCTGAAAAAAACAAATCTGGGGATTTGCTCTGTCTGGGGGCATTCATTTATACACACACGCTCACCCCACGCCGAGGGAGACACCACCACCCAGCCAGTCTGGCTGGAAACTTCCGAATCCGTCTCATAGTGGAAACAGGATATTTAAAGATTTATGGTTTTCCTAAGGCAGAAAATTCCTTCCCAGTGTCTCAGCTCCAGGATCTCCTGGAGAGGTCCCGCTCCATGTGACAGTGACCTGTGGAATACTCCAGCCCTGTCCTTAAGGACACCGAAGAGGAGAGGACACTCAAGTGATGAGCCCTGAACTTCAACCCACAGCATTTTCTTGCGTAGAAAAGGCTTCATTTGGGGGCTGGGGTGGAGAGGAGTTAGCAGGGACGATGCTTTTCACCCTGTTACCCCTCCTTGGTGGTGGCCAAGCCTCCCCATGCCAAGCACAAGCTCCAGCCCCTGCGTTTTGCTGACCACGGTCTCTCCTGCTCCCACCCAGCACATCAGCACGGCAAAGAGCGAACAGAGCTTTTCCTTCCTCCCCTCCAGGTGGAAAACTGATGCTTTGGGATCAGACACCTGCGTCTCATCCAGCCCTTACCAGCCTGACCAAACGAAGGCACAATTAGCGTGGAGAGCTTTTCACAAACCAGTTTGGCACCCGCTGGTGGCTTGGTCAGGGGGATGTGTCAGGAAGCATCCAAAGCAGCATCTCCACTTGGAGATGTATGATTTCTTTTTTTCAATGTTTGTCCCTACCCTGTGCTGTCACCACGTTATAACAGATGTCTGCCTCTCTCCGGCATCAGACACAGGGCTGCCAGACATGGCGCCCACAGCCATGCTCCAGTGGGCTTGTAAACCAGGATATTTTTGGGTGGGATGAGAAGGCTCATGGGCAAGAGGCTGCCCTGGCATCAGGAGCACAAGCAAAGGGAAAAAGAGTAGAAAAGTTGTGAAGACTATGCAAGAGGACCTCCACACAACCCCAGCACTGCCCTGACACTCTGCTGTCTGTTTTTCAAGGGCTTTGCCTTTCACACGCACACAGCAAAGAGCTGATGCCTTTTCTCCCCATGTTGTCATCAGGAGATGGAGCACATGGACCACTCCACGGTCTCCTGCCATGCTCCATCATGGGAGGAATCCAAGAAAAAAAAGGCCAAGAGCTTCAGCTCCTGACCACCCAAAATGATTTGCCCATCAAAGCACAGCACAGGTGAGGAGCGTGGGTGTCTTGGGGGAGAAATGCAAGAGCCCCACGAACGCTGCGACCTGTCTCCAAAGGGAGTCTGGTTACAGTAGCTGGAGTCTCCAAACTCAGCCCAGCTGAAGAAAAAAAAAAATAGAGTGGAAGAGCCTCCTTTGCAAAAGGCAGTTTCACTGAAATTTGAATGATTCACAAAAAAAACAACGTGTTGGAAAAAAATGTAAAGATCATTTCAGCATCCTTGGACCACGTTATGACGGTCATGCACCTTTCAGGATTGTCCATACCCCTATTTTTTTTTTTTTGTAATATCTAAGGTTGTGAGAAAATCTATCACTTCATATTTCCCCTCAAGTTCAGAACAAAAACGAGCCCAATCACCTCATTTTCCCACAGCTCAAAAATCTCCATGTCTGAGCAGCTCTCCTACAAACCCACCACATAGCACGGGAGACCTCGTTTTTGACCCAAAGCCCTTTAACAGGTTATCAGATTAAAGGAGCTGTGATGCACAGAGCAGGGAACAAGCAGGACACCCTACATCTGCCTCAGCACCCCAATCTGCAAAACTGCCTCATGTCTCAAAAACAAAAAACCCAACGCCAGCAAAATGC